CAGGAAAACAGCATGCTGATTTGCGTGATCGATTACTGCTCCTACTGTAGCTAGGAATGGTCTCCCGAAAATGAGTGGCCTCTCCTTGTCTTTATCCATCTCCAGGACTTGAAAATCTGCTGGAACAATCTTGTCTCCCACTAGAACTTGTAGATCATGAATCGCCCCTTCAGTATCTTTTTGAGATGAATCTCCAAAAATAACCTTAACCGTCGACGTCCTTAAGGTTTTTATGCCCAATTTTTTGGCAAACGTCTTAGACATGATGTTGACATTGGCTCCGGAATCGCACAGGCAGTCTGTAAACTTGATTCCTGAAATGAAACATTGGAAAACAAAACGTCCCGGATCATCGGCTTTGGTAAGCCTTTGAAACGGTTTGGGATCGATATCCTTGTACAATGGTACAAAGATTGGGGTTTCTTCTTTCTTTCCATCGGTTCTGGCCTCTTCTTCGGGCAATGTGGTTATGGCATTGCAAAACTTCTTAGGGTTATCTTCAACTCTTCCTGGAAGAACTCCACTTTGCCTCTTCATAGAGTCGGCTGTTTGGGCGACTTGCACGTCTAGCTTTTTGACGTGCGAAGATAAAGATTCAAACTTACCGTTCAGATCATTGTACATGCAGTCAACTTTCACGTTCACGTCTTTAGATGCTTTTTCGTTCGTCATAACGAGTTGGATAGACTGTTCAAGTCTACTGATTTGTGAAGCTAGCTGGTTCGTTGTGACTCCCTGTTGGTGTACAAATTGATTGTTAAAACCCGTACCTTGGTAGTTATATGGTTGTCTCGGTTGATATGGTATTATTCCTCCGAAGTTTCCACCTTGAAATTTGTTTTGGAAGGATTTTTGCTGAGGTGGGTAGTGCTGATCTTGAGGATTCTCCACATTTGGATTGCGGTAAGAGAGATTGTTGTAATTTGCATTCCGGAAGTTGTTGTTGAAGCTATTGTTGGAGCGGTTTTGATATGGCACCAGTGCTCCTACGTAGTTCACATCTTCTTCTTGAAAGGCTTGATTAATGTGATCGATATCACTAGGTCCTTCATCCTCTGCGCCATTGTTGGTCTCACAAGCATGGATTGGGCGATTGTTGCTCTTCAGAAGCTGGCTCACCATGTTCTTCAACTCGGTTATCTCCTTGTTGTCTGTTCCGGCTTGCTTCATTGATCGATCGTATTCAGGACAATCATTGCTATTGGCTTGAGCCAAATTTTTGATGAGGGCTCTTCCTTGGCTATCGTCTTTTGTCCAAAATATCCATTACTAGCTGTATCAAGTGAAAGTTTGTATTTTGGTTGCAAACCTCGGTAAAATGTGCTCAGCAGGCTTGATCCATGAAATCCATGGTGAGGGCAATCACGTTCATACTCCTTAAAATGCTCCCAGGCTTCATAGAAAGATTCAGTTGGCCCTTGTTGAAAGTTTGAGATCTTTGTTCTCAACTGATTCGAACTTGACTTAGTGTAGAAGTGGTTCAGGAAAGCAGTTCTACATTCTTCCCAATTAGTAATTGATCCTGCAGGCAAAGATTTCAACCAACGGTGAGCCTTATCTGCTAATGAAAAAGGGAACAACTTACACTTTAAATAGTCTGGTGGAACTTGGTTTGTTCTCATCATGCTGCAGATTTCTTCAAAGAGCTCGATATGGTCCATTGGGTGTTTTTGTTTTACCAATGAGATGATTTGAGGCTTGACTTCAAACTCATTCCGGTTCGGAAATGGAACTTGAATTGCAGATCGGTTCTGAAAATTTTGAGTAGGTGCATCAAAATCAGCTATGCGATGGTTCCGGGCTTGTCTTCGGTGTTGATTTGCTTGCTGAACAGGGCGGTTAACGCGCCCATTCGGCTGCATCCCTTGGTGGTCACCATCGGCTGCATTGATGGGTGCTTCAAGGTCTTCACGTTCTTCTCTCTCGCGGTTCTGGTGGTTTCTTGGAGGAACCTCGTCCTCCTCTCCATCTTGTCGAGCATGATCACCTCCTCTGTGATCATTCTCTTCATTTTCTCCATGTTCAGACCCGTCTTGATCCATATTCAAAGTTCGATTAATAGGATCTCCAGGCTGGTCGTCGTTGGCCATTCTTTGCGTTCGTCTAAGTCTTCGAAGTTCTCTTTCGTGTCTGTCTATCTCGTCTAGAATTGGAATGTTTTCTACAGGTCTGCGCCTGGTATTCATGCAATTCAGAGATAAACAAAAGAAGGGAAAGATAGTTCAGCAAAACTTTAAGAAAGAACTAGAGATCAGGTGTTTAGAACAGAAGTTAAAACAAGAAAAATAACAAAAGGCAGCGAAACAAATCCCCGGCAACGGCGCCAAAAACTTGATGTCGTGTCAACTGCGTGAGGGAACAAGTTTTACCCTTAACAAAACAAATGAAAGCCGCAAGTGCACAGCTAATCAGTTGTAGTATTTAGGGATCGAATCCACAGAGATTTGTGTGCCTGTTATTCTTCTACGGTTTTTAACTTTATGTCTAGACTAAATTGGTTTTTAAAAGTTGGTTGTTTGTCACGAATTAAACTAAAATAAGAGAAAGCAAATAAATCTATCCTAGAAAGCAAGTAAAAAAATCGAATGAAAGGCTAATAAAGCAAGTAAAATATCGAATGAAAGACTAATAAAGCAAGTAAATTATCGAACTAAGGAAATTGAAATGCAGGTTTAAGTAAGCAAATAAAAATCGATGGAATTGTAAACTATGGCTAAAAACGCTGAGCTTTTGGAAACTCTAAGGGACCATAATCGGTTTTAACACTAGGGTAAATAGATTGGGATTGACGGATATCGATATATAGGTTCTAGAGCTAGAGTACGGCGGTATGACTACGTCACTGTCGTGATCATAACCAACTGTTTCTCGCAACCCTGACCAGTAGGTTTCCACTCTGGCCCTGGAAGGGAGAGAACGCAAGAGCTGCACAAGACTCATCAATACTCACGATCTCGCCGCAGGTAGGTTTCCACTCCTATGGAAAAATTGCCAGTTTCATTCTAGGGCTGATACTTAATGAAAACTTTCGCAACACTAACTATCTAGATCAGATACTAGGTGATCAATCAAGCATACATGCAATAAGAACAAGAATAAACAGAGAACAGGTCGAAATCCCATATCTATAAACCTAGATGTCTTAATCGATTATGAGAGCCCCTTTCGGGAACCCTAAGCCCAACTCGGGATCTACTCAGACATGGCTGAGGTCGACATCATCATCGGTTTTAATAAAAGTAATGAAAAACAGTAGAGAAAAGAGATAAAGAAAGCTTCTCTATTGAAGAACTCGGACTTGAACAATCTTCTACAAAAATCTCATAAAAACGGCTAAAGGAAAAAAGGGTTTCTGTAAAGTATGAATGGCTCTCCCTAAAAACGACCTAAATGACATGTATTTATAGCCTTCAATACTCCATGGTCTCTAGGGTTCCAGAATTGAGGCTGAGAATGACTTTGGGCTTCAGATACATGGGCTTTAATTCGGAGCTTGATTGCCGCGGTCGAGAGTGTCGTGACCGCGGGGATTGAGTGGTTGGCCGCAGTCGGGAAGCTTCTGACCGCGGGAAATAGGTTGTTGGCCGCGGTCGCGTGACTTGCTGGCCGACTTCGAATGGCTCCGGGGCTAAAGGAATATCTTGAGATCCAACCGTTGGAATGTCTCCAAACCAAGTGCATTTGAAAGCTGGTTGATTCTTCTATAAGTTGTCCAATTTTGAGGGTGATCAGACGGTGAGAAGGTCTTCGTCTCTCCCTGAGAGTTTTGATGGTCTGCATTTATTCAAAATAATCTTTTTGTTCCATTTTGTGCCTCTTTATCCCAAATTACCTGAAAAGTCTTTTAAAATCCGGAAACATAGAAATCCTTTGAAAACCTTTGAAAATGGAGTAAAAACACCTGTAAAAAATATTAAAGTGATCCATAAAAATGGTCAAAATCCGGTGTTATCAGATTGTAAAAAATAACTTAAAAATTTAATTTAAATAGAAAAGCAGATCTTTTATTCAATATTAAACAAGAGTAACCTAAAAGATAGAAAAATTATTATTTCTCCTTAATGAACAAACAAAAAATAGAAATAATAATTATTGTTATAACTTTGCAAAGTCTAAAAATCCTATCAACTCTACTATTTAGAGTGTTAAAAAAAAGGTTAGGAAAAAGGAAATATGTATAAAAAAAGAGGGGAAACATGTAAAAGGAAAAGATAATTAAAAGAGTTAATCGGCTAAAACAATTTTTTTAATACTAAAACTGATTAAATTGCGAGTGTTTAAAACAAGCAAAGGAAAAAAATTTGTTAAATTAAAAAAAGAAAAAAACCATGTAAAATGAAAAGGAAATTTTAATGATTTATTCGCAATTATCTGTTGGATCCATTTAAAGATATGATTGCAAAAGATAGAATTAGTGACCTGTAGGAAAACAAATTCGTTTATTATTTTATGTAAGATCTTAAAGAATTTTGGGGGATGAAGTCTAAGAGAACAGAACAACAAAAAGCATATGTTAATGATTACAATAAATATGATAGAATGAAAAATATGATATAACTAATGTTTATAGTTGAAAAAAACGATTAATTAAAGTGATGAAAAAAACAAAAATAATCAAAATCAAAATTACAAAATTAATTTATATCAACACAAGTTTTAAAACTGAACATTTAAATAGGAAAAAAAACAGAACAAAACCTAAAGAATATCGAGAAATTAAGAAAATACAACTAAACATGTATATATAAGAGGAAAAATACACTAGAGTTTATGTTTCTATGGTTATGAGGGTTATTAAAATTGCTGGTTCATGGCCTATTATTGAAGAAAAAATTCATGTCACGTATTTATACATGTATGATTAATGATAGATCTATCAAAACGAATTAAAATAACACATAATATTTTTTTAATTCATGCCACCTAGGACATGGTGATAACACATAGATATAGATTAATGATTTGGCCACTTATTTAGATCAAAGAAAGTTTCACAAGTCTTCTTCTTTGTGCTAATGGGTTTTATGGTGGATACGCAAAAGGAAGGAGATGGTGGCCATTCATGGAGTTGCTTAAGAACTCTGGTGAGAAGGAAACAAGTCGAATCTTCAAATGGCAAAGCCGAGACTCCTCATCACCATCAACTCGCCAAAGCCTTGACATTTCCTCACTTGATTGCAGTTGGTAACTTTTTTTTTTTGCTTTAACTGAACTTTCTTTTGATTCCGATTTCGTTATTTTAGGAATCTGGGTTTCTTAGTTAGTCGATTTTGTGGTTGGTCAATTTCTTAATCTGATTTGTGTCTATGATATCTGGATTCATAACTGATTTTTTAAAGTTTGAAGCTTTGTTTATTTCCTGTATGAAGTTGTTGTTAGCTATTTTTCACTCATTATCTAGTCTTAGATATCTGAATCATGGGTGTTTTCTTTGTTTTGGCTCTATGTTCTTCACTAAACCTCAAGATTTTGTTTTGTACAATCTTGATTCATAGATAATTTTTAAAGTTTGAAGCTTTTTTTGTTTTTCTTTTTCTGTCTGAAGTTGTTGTTAGCTTTTTATCACTCATAATCTAGTCTTGATTTCTTCTGAATAATGGGTCAGTTCCCTTTGTTTTGTTCTATGTTCTTCATTAAACCTCAAGAGTTTGGTTTGTTTAGGTGTTGGGTCAACAATTGGAGCAGGGGTTTACATTCTTGTCGGAACAGTTGCAAGAGAGCATTCAGGACCTGCTCTCGCCTTTTCTTTCCTTATCGCTGGAATTTCCGCTGCACTTTCTGCGTTTTGCTATGCTGAACTCTCTAGTCGTTTTCCATCAGCTGGAAGTGCCTATCACTATTCTTACATTTGCATTGGTGAAGGGTAACATGTTCACTTGCTTTTTGTAGTTATCTAGCAGTTGATGTGTTTAGAGCTTTTGATGGTGTATTCATTGCTTTTACTTATGGATTTTTGGGTTTTTGACAGTGTTGCGTGGTTGATTGGCTGGGCACTGATTCTTGAATACACGATTGGTGGTTCAACGGTTGCCCGTGGCATATCACCAAATCTGGTTTATTTTTTCTTCCTTTTGACATATATCTTCATTTGCTTGCATTTTATACTGATTAAACTTCCTCTGTTTAGTTTAAACAAGACTGATGGATCTAGGTTTGCATCGCATGCATTCATAGTTTTGTTTCTTGAAGAGTGATTATACATTTTTTTGTTGAGCTGGAGTTTACAAGTTTTGTGTGCTGGCCTATTCTTTTCATGAAGTTATTACTGTAGTTTCTACATGCTAAGTATGGGTTTCCATACGAACTATAAAGCTCTTATAAGATCATTATCTTTGTGTTCTTGTGTTCTTTGAGCTATGGATCCTAAGCCAATACCTTTATTCTCAAAAGGATTCTTGATAAATCTTGATGGCACTTAGACAATTAAGAGACAAAGGAAACTTTTTCTTCTTAAAAAGTTTTGGTGGTCATGAGCTCTATTATCGTTGAAATCTCAACTCATCATCACGTTTCATGTGATATACCATGATAGGCATTAATTTTCGGTGGTGAAGATTGTCTGCCAACAATATTAGCTCGTCATCAAATACCAGGACTGGATATTGTTGTTGACCCATGTGCTGCTGTACTAGTCTTCATTGTAACAGGACTCTTGTGCATTGGAGTAAAAGAGGTATAAAACTTTATATGATTTCGATCACATCGTTTGTACAAACTCAACTCCCCCGAACCAAGTTATTGAAGTGAAAAAATCTCTTCTATGCAGAGCACATTTGCTCAGGGAATCATAACAACAGTAAATGTCTTTGTCATGCTATTTGTCGTAGTAGCTGGTAGTTATCTGTGTTTGAAGACAGGATGGGCTGGTTATGAACTTCCAACAGGGTAAATTGAGCATCAATCATCCTGTGGCCACCATCATATTTGGTAGAATCTATATGAAATGTAATTTATCGTTTTCTTAGGTATTTTCCTTTCGGGGTTGATGGAATGCTTGCTGGATCTGCTACAGTCTTCTTTGCCTACATCGGGTTTGATTCAGTTGCAAGTATGGCAGAAGAGGTCAGTTGAATGTAATATATTGTTGTGGTATCATCTTTTTAAAAGCTTTTAAGCACTGTTTTATACACTAGAGTTGTTGTTTCATATGCAGGTGAAAAACCCCCAGAGGGATTTACCGCTAGGAATTGGTCTTTCACTCCTGCTTTGTTGTTCGCTATACATGATGGTGTCTATTGTCATTGTTGGTTTAGTGCCTTACTATGCTATGGACCCTGATACACCAATATCCTCCGCATTTGCTAGTCATGGAATTCAAAGGGCTGCGTAAGTCCATGAATCGTTTAAGATGCTATACTGTTCATTAACAAAACTTGTTTTCAGAGTTTTATTTTGAGTTCGTTTTTTCTTTCTTTTTGTAGATATTTGATAGCTTTAGGTGCTGTCATGGCTCTCTGTTCTACTCTAATGGGCTCCATTCTCCCTCAGGTAATTCAAGTGTCAATGTCAGATCTTTAGAATTAAGGATTTAACAATGAGATGTTTGAAGAATATATAGATGATATGTGGATTTCGTTTGTACAGTGCTTCTGCTTAATTAATCGGTGCTTGAACTAGCGTTAAGCTCACCAAAGAGCTTATTCATTTTTCAGCCGCGGATTCTGATGGCAATGGCTAGGGATGGCTTGTTACCTTCATTTTTCTCAGACGTGAATCAACGCACGCAGGTTCCTGTTAAAGGGACCATAACAACTGGTTTTTGTGCAGCAATCTTAGCTTTCTTTATGGATGTTTCACAACTGGCAGGAATGGTAAATTAAGACACATTATGATTCGCTAAAGTTTCCTTTTAGCATGTAACTAGTATTTGACAAGCTCTTGTTGGTGTAGGTGAGTGTTGGGACACTTGTTGCATTTACAATGGTTGCAGTATCGGTATTGATACTCAGATATGTTCCTCCAGATGAGGTACTGATTAAGTTGGAACCGTTAAACTCCTTTTTTTATTTGATTTCAGCTAAGAACTACATTATAGAAGATACTTGATTAAAGAGAGAAGTCTCCTTTTAACCTGTTAGCTCATTCACTAGACTAACAAGGCTTTTATCAGGTACCTCTTCCTGCATCTCTTCGAGAGAGAGTTTGTTCTGTTTCCTTTATACCTGGTGAAGAAAACTCATCAAGTCACGTCGGCACTTCGACTAGTAGCAAACAACCTTTACTTTGCACAACTGATGCTTCAATTGTGGAGAAGCAAGAAGCTCAAGGGGGTTGTAAGTTACTATTCAATTCTTGTAGAAAGGCTTAACATTATGATTCATTCTCACTGGTGCATGAACTTCTTACTGTCATATGCAAAAAGTTTACATGTGGTAATTGATTCTGTAGGGGTTCTCAATAACGAAAACAGGAGGAAATTTGCTGGTTGGAGCATTATGATCACTTGTATTGGGAACTTCCTTTTAAGCTATGCAGCGTCAAGCTTGCGCTTTCCAGGGTTAGTTCATCAAAAGTTTATTTACCTGAGGCTTTTTCTTTTACTATGTTCCAAAAGTTGGTTTTATTCTAGCACACTGAGTTCCATTTTTACATAACCTATTAACAGACTCCTCCGATACTCTCTATGTGGTTTTGGTGGATTGCTCCTTCTTGTCGGTTTGACTGTGCTGAGTTGCTTAGATCAAGATGATGCCAGACACAGTTTTGGGCATTCTGGAGGTACTAATTTTCTTGATTTGCCATATGTTTTGTTTGAAGTTCTTTATTTGGATACAGATTGGAAAATATGGAGTTTTGTATTGGTGACATATAACTCTCTTATTACAGGTTTCATTTGCCCGCTTGTTCCACTTTTGCCTATTGTCTGCATTCTTATCAACATGTATCTCTTGGTAAACCTTGGGTGAGTTATGTATCATGACATCAGATTTGTGAATACTAACATGTGAGTTTACTGTAAATATAAACATTTTTCCCTTGATAATGTTTTAGAGCTGCGACATGGGCTCGGGTATCGGTGTGGCTGGTCATTGGAGTGCTTGTTTACCTGTTCTACGGGCAAAGACACAGCTCTCTAGTGGATGCAGTTTACGTCCCCACTGCTCATGCCCACGGGATTCATCGCACTTCTGGACATTCTTTGGCTTAAATCATCACAAGATTCATTCTGTATGTAACAAAATCTGTAAAATAATTATTCGAGATTGGTGTGTTTAGTCATGTTGTAAATAAAAGTTCAATGTTATTGTTCTTCTTAGAGATACTGTGTATAAAATTATACGAAAAGGGTGTCTACGAGACAATTATAATTGGTTAATAGACGATTTATTGAATTGGTAAATCTAAATGCTTACATGGAATGTACCAAACACGATCATTAATCCAAGTTATTCACACAAAAAGAAAAAAACATAATCAAAAAGATTACAAAATATTGGACAAAAAGTTTCATGCATTAACCCTTTTGAAGTGTAGAGATGCTCGAGCTGTTATAACACAAAAACACGACCGTCTCAGATGTAATCTGGAGTCCTTTGTGAAATATCTAAAGACATTGGAGAAGAAAACCCATCAGTCTTTGATTCGACAGAAACTAATGAATTTGTTGGTTGGAGAAATGTTGAACTAAGAAAAGGTATATAGAGATATGTTAAAAAGGTTCTTTATGAAGAAGATCATGTGTTTGAAACCTGAGTCCATAGAAGGCAAAATAATAGCTTGCTATTCAATTCTTCGACTTCTTCTTTGGCTGTCGTTTCTTTCTCGATTTCTTAAACCCACCTCCTGTCTCCTGTGGATAATACAGTTTTATAAGTTAGTTCACAGAGAAGGTTTATTATAACATCATCAGATATTATCAACCCAGCTTCAGTAGATGCTGACCTTTCTGTAACATCTATATGCACTTTGACCTGAGAACTCCTGTCCGGTTTTAGAGATATAAACCTACAAGAGCAAGGAAACACTCAGAGACTACAAAGATTCGAACCTCCCTTCTCTCTGTGTTCTGTAAGAAATAGTTTCCCATGCTTAATGTGTGTGTGTGTGTGTTTAACACCTCAAACAGTCAACAATTCACTTTTCTATGTAACTTTTGTTCATTGTGGAAAGAGAAACAGACCTTCCTTCCTTCTGAGGATGTGAACCAATGACCTGCAGAACCACTGTTAGCCGATACACGTCTTTTGCCTGCGTCTTTTGGAGCTGCAGATCTCGCGTTGGAGCTATTTTGGCCTTTTGAGACCTTTGACTTTGCTTGCCTTCTTCTGCTGCTAGAGTCTACGGTTTTAGAAGTCTCACTGCTGCCAAATTGGTTCCTACAATGGCATTGGGAATTTATGTCAATGCCCTGTAAACAGAAGTTTGTACGTAACAAAAAATAAGAAAGTGATTAGGAGTGTAACCCACATATAATCAATAAGGCACTCCACTGGCCGGTTCTCTCTATCATTGACAATTCCCAAAGGCAAGAAGTTTGGTAACCGCTTCCGGACTAAATTCTGGATCCTTGGATCACTGTGCAAGAAGAAACGATGAGATGGAGGAGATGGGTGAGGAAAATCCAAGAATTCCCTAGTTTGCTGAAACAATCCACTATTGCTACAACTTGCAACAGCACTGCTTTGTTTCTGAGCTGTGCTGCTTGTACTCCTCTTAATCGAGCTAAAGTAGTCCTGACAAATATCATCCAAAGCTGGAGTTTGTATCTTGCAAACAGCCGCCGGGGGAAAATCTTTCCACAGATCTTCAGATTTCTTTCTTTTTGGTTTACTTGCAACAGATGGTTGATCCTTTAAGGATGACTTATTTGTTTTAGTTACTCGGCTTCTTTTGCTGGTGAATGGGTGGTCATCTTCAGAATCTGAATCTAGTAGCTGGTACTCTCGTAGAGCTGGTGTCTGAGTCTTGGAAACTGCCGGGGAAAACTCTTTCCAAAGATCTCCAGTACATGGCATAGATCCAGATTCCTTACTCTTTGAAGATGAACCATTTGTTTTAGTTACTCGGCTTAAATCTCTTTTGCTGCTGGATGCGTGTTCATCTTCAGAATCTGAATCTAGTAACTGGAACGTTGGTGTTTGAGTCTTGGAAACTGCCACCGGGGGGAAATCTTTCAACAGATCTCCAGTACATGGCATAGATCCAGATTCCTTTCTCTTTGAGGATGAATCATTTGTTTTGGTTACTCTGCTTAAATCTCTGCTGGATGACGGGTGGTCATCTTCAGAATCTGAATCTAGCAGCTGGAACCTTCGTTGAGCTGGTGTTTGAATCTTGGAAGCTGCCACCGGCGGAAAATGTTTCAGCAGATCACCAGGACACGGCGTAGATCCAGTTTCCTCTCTCGAGGATGAATTATTTGTTTTGGTTGCTCCGCTTAAGTCTCTGCTTCGAGTGGATGGGTGGTCATCTTCAGAATCTGAATCTAGTAGTTGGAACCTTCGAAGAGGACTACGAGCTGAGCCTTGAAACAATGGTGCAACAGAAGTAATCCCAGAGCTAGTAGATGCTGGAACACGATCCAACGGCTTTCCTTTTTCCCGACTCCGAGATATAGAAGAAGGCTGGCTAGTGAAAGCCCCAGAACCATGAAGTGAAACCTTTGAACTGCAGCTAGAAAACTGACTTCTAGTTGATGCAGGTGGAGCTGCATGTAGCAACAAAAGTAGTAAATCAAAGATGAAAATGAAACAAACAAAATATGAAAAAGACTTTCAGAGCTATTGTTAAAAAGCTCATCCAAAAATGAAATCCTAAAGAATTCATTTTGAGCTATAACACATCATCATCATGTTATGTAACATCGTAAACTATTCTATATCATTCATCATGAATCATTATCACATAATCATCACACAATTCCATTCCTAGACTAAGCATCAACCTTTATTTCTGATATCTAAGGAGACAGGAAGGTTTGCAACTTAGCATCAGCTTCTTAAAATTCATCAGTTTTTACTTTTCAGATACTCTTTCAATGTCAATGTATCTCCGAAACTTCAATTCCAGCAATTTTAAGCAAGACCCATTTCACACATAACAGTGAATAGAGAAATCATAGCTCGAAATTATGTTTTAATTACCTTCGGGAGAAGAGAACTCCTCGATGTCGTCGTCATCATCACGATCTTCCTTAAAACCTAACAACTCATTAATATCATCTTTCGCAGGACACTTGTTGAAATTACTAACTCCTCGTCGCAACCGCTTGAGAACCGGACTTGAACAACTTGCTTCCAGCTCCAGATCGGAATCTGAGACCGTAAGTCCCGGGTCTGGCTCGTCGTCTCCGATTAAACCGGGATTGGGATCCGATACAGCATCGATTTCAAACCCTAGAGAAAACGATGGTGGCTCAATCGATTTCATGACAAGCAAATTAGGGGTTTGGAGGGAAGAGGAAGAGACTTCAACTGGCGCGTTGTTCGATGAGATTATGAGCCAAAAGAAAGCTCGAAATTTTCCCTCGCCTTCGCGGGCAATACATGATTTCAAAAAAATTCCAAGTGATTTGATTGATATTAATTAGTTTTCGCCGAATGCATTGAAAATTTTATTGAAAAACTGAAAATAGAGGGAGTATGACGTCACTCCTGTTTTTTTTCTCTCTCATGGCGATTGGTAAGATTTTTTGGAAAACGGTTACTTTTCGACCGACCACGATCTTGGTTCGCCTGAGATCTGATTGTGTCAGTTTCCTTCCGTGGTCCACATCGCCCACTAATCTTGTGTTGATGGGCACGTTCTCTTGCGGTTTCTGGTTGTTTATGGCTGATTTAAAACTTCGGAATCAGAAACCGCCTTGGCCAAATCTTTATTTAACAACGCTTTCTCAATCACCACAAATCACACCAACTTTCCTTTTCTTCTCCTCTCAGATAATGGGTGATAATCTCCAATGTCAAATGCATAACATGAGTTTGGGTATTGCGGATGAACCCGTTTCTCTCCCTCTGGAGACAAATCTCTGCTGCTGCCGGTAACCAATTCTCTTTGGTGGTTGTTCCTCTCAATTCGGCGAAGAAGAATCAACTTGTCAAAGCGTATAAAGATGAGGAATTCCACTGACAGCAGAAAGTTGAAATACATGGCTTGCATCTGGAAATAGGAATACTAAGTTCTTTCATGCTTGTACAAGAACAAGATTTTCCAAGAACAAAATTCATGCCATCCATGATGCTTCGTGTCAGATATATAGAGGTGATAAAGATATTGGAAATCATGCAGAGGAATTCTTTAAAGGTATCTACTCCAGCAATAAAACTCTTGTTCGAGATGAGATTTTTGTGGGGATGAAGAAAACAGTTACGAATTATATCAACTGTTCTCTAACTGAAGACTTCACGAATATAGAAATTTATGAAGCAATTTGCTCTATTGGAGAAGATAAGGGTCCTGGACCTGATGGTTTCACTGCAAGATTCTATCAAGAGTGTTGGCACATTGTTGGATCAAACGTGGTAGCTGAAGTTAAACGATTTTTCCACACAAAAGAGATGAAACCTGGAGTAAATCACACCAACATCTGCATGATTCCTAAAATCGAGAAACCTGTTACTCTCTCTGATTACCATCCGATAGATTTATGCAATGTCCTCTACAAAATAATTTTCAAGCTTCTAGTAAGACGGCTGAAGAGTTTTTAAATGTGATTGTATCAGAAGAACAAGCTGCTTTCATACCTGGGCGCCTAGCATCTGAAAACATCCTAGTGGCTAATGAACTTATGCATTATCTTAAGTCAAGGAAGAGAGTATCTCAAACTTACATGGCCATGAAAATTGACATCAGTAAAGCTTATGACCGTGTGGAGTGGGATTTTCTAGAAAAAACCATGAGAATGTTTGGTCCTAATAAATGGTCATCCTCGAGGTCATATCAGTCCAGAGCGTGGATTACGGCAAGGAGATCCGCTTTCATCGTATCTATTTATTCTTTGTGCTGATGTTTTAAGCCACTTAATCAAGGTGAATGCTCATAAAGGAAGGATTTGTGGGATCAACATAGGCAATGGAGTCCCCTCCCCTCACACATCTCTTTTTTGCTGATGATCCCTTGTTCTTTTGTCAAGCAAATAATTGAAATTGTCGAGCTCTGCAAAATATTTTCAAACTTTATGAGGAGGGCTCTGGTTAGATGATTAATCCTTCCAAATCGATGATTACTTCTGAGTCTCGCATTCCAGGGGATCTTCAACATCAACTTAAGGCATTTTAAATTACCTGATCAGGTTACTAGTTTATTATCACGATTCTGGTGGGAGAAGAGTCGAGATCATAAGGGAACCTCTTCGGTAGCTTGCACAAAAACTTCAAAGATCAAAGAAAGAAGGAGGATTAGATTTTGAGATTTGGATTCTGTCAATGATGCCCTTTTAGCTAAACAGGCTTGGCGTCTTTACACTCATCCGGACACTCTGTTGGCAAGACTTTTTAAAGCGAAATACTTCCGTGAAAACTCCATTCTCGAAGCAAAATCTCAAAGAAAACAGTCTTATGGATGGTCCTCAATACTTGTGGGATTGGAATTATTAAAAAAAAGCATCCGGTTTAATGTCGGCTCGGGTGATGGAATCCGTGTTTTCAAGGACAATTGGCTCCCCACTCACCCTCCGAGACCGGCAATTGGAACTTGTGAGAATCTTAAAGTACGGGATCTCATTATTCAAAATGGCTTTTTTGTAGGCCATATCCTTGTATCTACAAAACAATGATCAGGAGTTAGTAAAATCCATTTATTTGGCTCAACAGATTGAGGATGATAAAGTTTACTGGTCTTGCAAATCGGGGGTATATACAGTTCGTTATGGTTATTACTTGGCTTGTAAAACTTCCCAGGTTGCAGTGGGTGCTCTTCAAATGGCTCATGGTGATCCTGCTCTCAAATCAAGAATCTGGAAATTACAATTTCTCCCTAAGATTAAACATTTCTTATGGAGAATTCTGTCCAAGACCCTCCCCACAGCTACTAGACTTGGCTCTTGAGGAATCAGGATTGATGCTACATGTAAGGGATGTGGCTTATTCTCGGAAACCATCAACCATCTCCTTTCCAAATGTCCAGTATCAAATACTACCTGGCGTCATTCTAATTTGACTTTACCTTTCCTCCATCAACATTCTTTTGATGTTGAAGAGAAAATCAGAAAGATCTTGGAGCTGCAGAGGACTTCAAATATTCTGACTGAAGATAAACTTCTCCCATTCTTGTTAATGTGGTGCATATGGAAATCAAGGAACAATTTGCTCTTCAATAAACAGATACCACGGCCTCTCAAAGATGTTCTAATGTCAGCTTCGGAGGTGAGGGAGTGCCTTCATGCAGCAAATTCAGATAAAGCGGACAATAGCCGTGGAAATGTTTCATTTGGAGATACCAGTTCGACTCCATCATGGTCTAGACTGAATGAAGGATTTTGCAAATGTAATTTTGATGCATCTTACAATGCAATAAGCAAAGACGACGTTGGAAGTTGGATTATTCGAAATGATTTGGGTGAAGCTATATATTGGTGCTCTGATTCTTTGGAAAATGCAGAATCGCCTTTGGAAGCTGATGGGAAAGCTCTTCTAATGGCTGTTCAAATTGCAAAGATGATGGGATTCCAGATTGTTATGTTTGAAGGGGATTGTCAGATTTTGATAAATAATCTGAATAGAAAGGACAAAGATTTCATGATTCATAATCTTTGTGTTGATATCTGGAAATGGTCATCTACCATGGTATCTACAAGATTCTATTGTGGGAAAAGATGCTGCAATGAGCCAGCTCACTGGTTAGCCAAAATTGGACCTTCTAATAAGGTTTTCTATTTGGATTGTATTTTTCCCCCAAATTGGTTAACTACCCATTTGTATATGGATTGTATACTCTCAAGTTGAAGTTTATATAATGTTTATTCTGTAAAAAAAAAATATATATTAGTTTCACCGAATATAACCTTTTTCATTTAAAAAGAAAGTCTAAATGGGCCGTGAATATTTTCAAAGTTGGATTAAGCCCATAAATTCAATTGGTGAGTAGTTCGAAAATAGCATATTACTTAGTGTTCAAATGTAATGATTTATGCTAAAACTTTAGTAATGTGCCTAAATATGTTTCAATTTTTTTGTTTTTGGTGAGTTGGGTATAAATTAAAGGTTGACCTAAAAATTAGCTACCTATAAACCGATAAAAAAAATTAGTTGGTTTTCTTTTGTTCCAGTTTTTATTCCCGATTTGCCCCTATTTGGTTGATATTATCGATATCTTAGGTAAAATATTGTCTGACATCGCATTTAGTGAATTGAGAAAATGCAGAGCTTTCTTGGAAACAATACTCTATGCCGTCTGACAAATATTTTAAATGTAAAGTTGAGTGAAGTTGGTGGGTCGTACTAGTATATCAAGCAAGATAATTAAGCATATAATGTGTTAATCTAGTTATTTGGTTAGTGCTAACATTTTCTGTAAATATATAATTCACTATGTCTCTGGTTCTTCGTTGTGTTCATTGTGGTGATGTTTTTTGTGTTAACAATGAAAGTTAGCAGTTACAAATATTATCAATTACAATTTAACAACTATTGGAAAGATAACACAATTATCATGTGTGGTTGTTATAACATAACATATTTTTAGCCAAACTACTACAATTTTTTTTAAAAAAATTAGCATACGATTAACATTAGTCGTTAACCAAGTTAACATAGTTGGTTAACACATTCTGTTAACATACATACTCCGGAGTCTGAGTTATCAAACCAATTGTTAACTTTTAAACAAGATCATGATTCAACACATCCAATTAATAAGCTAAGACCAAAATACATAAAGCTTGAACTGACTCCTCGGCTGCCTCGGCTGCCTTGACTGCGTTGACTGACTCTTGGACTTCCAGCCGAGAATGACTCTTGGAATTCTTCATGAGCTTGGGCCGAAAATGTGAGTGTAATCTTATTGCCTCATTAAAACCTCTACTCGGAAAACCCATTGGAATAAAACCGAGTACAGGAAAAAGAGTACAACAGACTTACACCTTGCGGCCAACCTCAAGAAGATTCCACAAATGATAATGAGGTCAGAGCTAAGTGTGTAAGCTGTTCCTCACCGACCCCGACTTGATCCTCCTTGATCCGGATTCCATTTAGCAAACTTCGGACAGCTCCAACAAGCTTCCGAGACTTAAACCGCGTCATGGGACCCTCCAGAACGACTAAGGCTGATTCCGGAACCTCCTCTTGTGCCTCCAGTTCCATGATCACATCATCCCCCTCCTCTTGAAAAAGACCTGTCCTCAAGTCTGGTCCATCTGGAACAAAGGGAATAATGTCAGCAACATTAAACTAGAACTTACGACATAGTTACCTTGGAGATTTGTAAGCATTGTTGTTGATCCGCTCCAAGACTGTGAAGGGTCCGTCCACTTTGGATAAAAGTTTGGACTTTCTTTCTTCTGGGAACCGTTCTTTCCTCAAGTATATCCA